TGTGCAACCTGGGACAAGTCATTTAACGTCTCAGTGCCTGTTCTGTAAAATGTGGAAAAGAATTATAATGTGCCTCGGTTAAACAATCTGTGATGGCTTGATAGGTCAAAGGTATGGACACAGCATGGTGTTTAAAACATACCCGATATTAGCCCCACATTGTGTGGCTCCTCCCCATTGCTTACCTTGCTTGGAAGGGACTGTCATGGGGTGCCTACCCCTCTAAGGGCCAGGGTACCTGGGGCCAGCCAGCCCTGTTCAGTTATCATACCCAGCGCTAGGAAGGAGTTAGGTCAGCGATGGGCAAAATACGGAGTGCAGGCCAGATCTGGCACGTCTAACATTTCTGTCCGGCCTCCTCTGCCCCCTCGCAATCTCCGAGTCCGGGCCGCTAAAAGTCCCGCAGCGCAGCGGGGCGCTCAGGCAGGCTGCCTGCATGCCACGCCCCAGGCCACTCCCGGAAGTGGCCAGCTGCTGCTGGCATGTCTCTGCGCGCCCCTAGCGGGGGGTCAGGGAGGCGGCTCCGCACACTGCTCCCGCCCCCGGCACTGTCTTCACAGCTCCCATTGGCCGGAAACCGGCCAACGGGAGCTGCGGGGGCGGTCTTGCGGTCCTGGGCAGTGCATGGAGACCTGCTGCCCTCCTCCCCCCAAGGGGCATGCAGAGACGTGCCAGCAGCAGCCAGCCGCAGCAGCTTCTGGGAGCCGCGCGGAGCAAAGGCGGGCAGGCAGCCTGAGTCCTGCTATGCCGCTGGCCAGGAACCGCCTGTGGTAAACGCCTCCCAGCCAGAGCCTGCACCTCATACCCCCTCCTGCACCCCAACCCCTTGCCCCAGGTCAGAACCCCCTCCTGCACCCAAACTCCCTCCCAGCCCCTGCACCCCCTCCTGCCCCCCAACCTCCTGCCCCAGCCCGGAGCCCTCTCCTGCACCCAAACTCCCTCCCAGCCCCTGCACCCCCTCCTGCCCCCCAACCTCCTGCCCCAGCCCGGAGCCCTCTCCTGCACCCAAACTCCCTCCCAGCCCCTG